ACAAAGTATATGTGAACTGCTGTATGAAAAGTGAATTTACTATGTAAATCTTCACCCAAATCCTAATAAAAAAAAAAAAAAAGAAAAGAAAAATGGCAATGTCTAGAGACATTTTTGGTTGCCACACAAGAAGAGGTGTTCAACTGGCATCTGGTATGTAGGAATGCTATTAATCAACTTCCAGTGCAGAGGACAATACCTCTACAAATGAAGAATTATCTGGCCCCAAATGTCGACAGTTAAAAGGTGGAGAAACCTTGTAGATAGAGCCACACTTGTGATTGTACTGCATTTTTATGCGAATAACTTGTGTTGTAAGTTTTTTGCAAACCACACAACCGCTCGACCCTTAGTTTCCTATGCATGTTACGCACATAATATGTATGTGTGCATTATTTACATGGGCATGTTATATGCACAAAAATATGGTAATTCTTAGAAAACTGGATGAAATATTTGAGTGGTAGTATAAGTTAAATGCAATAGAAGAAAAGATAATTTTTACCTTGAGTATATGGGAAGACATTGTGGGAGAGATTATATTAGAGATTGGTTCTGAAAAATGAATAAAAATGTGGGTATTACATATTTTTATGGACTGAATCATATGATTGTCAAAGCTAGAGATTCCTAGGCATGCTTAATCCAGTGATTTTCAATTATTTTTTTTTAAAAGCAAGCCTATTGAAAATAAGATCTTATTTGGAACCCGAATATATAAAACTTATAAAAAATAGAGCAGTTCTGATTGATGTGAGTGAAGGGACTGAAGCCAGCTTGGCTTCTGCCTTTTCTTTCACATCCTCCCACTAATCCCCAGGTATTTGTTGTCCCTACATCATTATTAACAGCACCTTCTTTCAAAAATATCTTGATTTGGGTGATAAATATATGGTCACCCAATCTATGAGGAGCATTAGTGTTCTAAGGAACATGGTTTGAAAATGACTAAGTCTGATTTTTTTTTTTAACTCTATTTCTTTTGAAAATCATGAGCATGAGTTCTTTCCTAAATATAAATTCATCGCTTGTAATAGTAGTGTTATATAGAAGAGAGGGAGTTAGTGAGGAGAACTGGGTCCAGTGTCTTGTTCAGCTGCTTACTAGCTATTTGGCTTTAGACAAGTCTCTAAAATGTCTTAGTTTACCTATTAGATTCCCTCTGCATTGCCAAGTTCAAAGTGCCTAGTGTTGTCTCACAGTTTTCAGAATATGTAAATTTCTATCCCTTGCCCTATGTTCTGTTTGGTTTAGTCTATTAATTCAATTTATAAATATCCTTTTTGACTTCTATGATTATTATTAGGAAATTGTTAGCTACAGACATGGACTTTTCATTTACGTCTATTTCTTCATGCGCCAGGTTCATGTATCCAGTTGTCTATTAGAAATCTCGAAAAGGCTTGCTGGTTAGACATCTCAAAAAACACATCGAAAACAAAATTCTTGATTCCTATACTTCACCAGCTCTGACCTTTACCTCCCAACACTTTCCCAACTCAGTAATAATGACACTATCCACCAAGTTCCTCAGGCCAAAAATCTAGATGTTGTCTTTGATTCTTTGTTCCCCTTCAATCATATCAGCAAGTTCTATAGCTTGTTGTTGTTGTTAGGTGCCGCCAAGTCATCTCCGACCCATAGCAACCTTATGTACAACAGAACGAAACACTGCTTGGTCGTGTGCCAGCCTCACGATCCCTGCTATACATGAGCCCATCACTACAGCCAGTGTGTCAGTCCATCTTGTTGAAGGCCTTCCCCTCTTTCTGTAGCCATACCCCCAAAAAACATCCCTAATTCAGCCAATGCTCATGATTTCCACTGCTATCCTAGTCCAAATCACGATCACCTTCTGTCTGTACTACGGACTGACCTCCAAACTAGTCTTCCTATTTCCACTCAGAACAGGATCATTTTTTAAACGTAAAAATGATGAAATATGGAAGACCTCCATAAACCACTTTAATCCAATGTCTTTAGTATGCTCCACAAGGCTGCAGTGGCTACTGCTCTAAACTCTTTCTTTTCATCACTATACCTCAGTCTTAATAGTTTTCTCTATTCTTCAATAAACTAAGCTTATCCTACTTCACAGCTTTTGCTGCCTGAAATATTCCTTTCTATACCCTCAGGACTGGCTCCTTTCCATCATTTGGGCATCAACTCAAGTATTATCTCTTTAGAAAGATTTGGCCTGACTATGGTATGTAAAGTATCATTTGCTTCCATTACTTTTTATCCCACACTTTAGTTTCCTCCTAGAATTTGTCATTATCAAAATTTTGTGTGTCCATTTTTACCTTTATCTCCTACCACTAGACTGTAGCTTTGTGAAAACAGGATCTTTGGTTGTCTTTTCATAGAACTTAGAACACAGTGCAGTTGCTTCATCAATTTTTCTTAAGTAAATTTAGGTGCTCTGTCATCTGTTAGTGACACAGAGGGTCAGCTTACCATACTAATACAGATATATATAATTCACATACACTTAGAAAAGTAAAGCAGCTAAAACTAAAAAAGCAGTTGGTAAATTTATATAAATGATAAACAAATTAAATGGGAATGGAAATTCACATTAAGAAGCAAAATTTGGCATAGAGAAAGTAGGCATTGAGTTTATAAACACAAAATTAAATTAGTGGCTAAAACCACATCCAGGGAAATAATCATATTAGAAATAGTATCCTCAGCAGAAAACTCATAATGGCTAAATTAAAATAAGCAAAAAATCAAATTTGTGTTATAAATGTTGCATAACAAAGAATCTATCCAGTGGAGAATTTTCCAAAAGAAAATAGAAAGATTTAAAAATATTTTACTATATTAGAGAGAAAATTTTTCAGTGAATTAAATTGTCTCCGTGTAATTCATGTCAGAAAACACATTCTTGATGAAAATTCACCAATGCCTGCATAATTTTGACATTGATTTTATATTTATTAATATAGAGATAGAAGAAAAAATATAGAATGCTCTATTGTCTGTCTACTTTTCAAAAAATGGTCTCCTTGATTAATGGGAAAATGTCAACAATTTTGGGAAGCTAGTATTTAGGATTTTTTTTTAATCCAGCTTTTTTTTTTAACTTATATTTTGACATAACTTTAGACTTACAGAAAAATTGCTAAATATTTTCCCATATACCCTTCATCCAGCTTCCCCTAATGTTAATAACTTATATAACTTTAGGACAATTGTCAAAGAAAGGAAGTTAGCATTGTACATTACTATCAGCTAAGCAATAAACCTTATTCAAATTTTACCATTTTGTTCCCCCTAGTGTACGCTTTGTTCCAGGCTCTGGTCCAGGATCTTACAAATACATATTGTTGGTGTATTTTCTTAGTTTCCTCCAATCTGTTCAATTTCTCAGTCTTTTCTTATCTTTCATGACTTTGATGTTTTTGATGAATACTGGTCAGTTACTTTGAACTATGTCTCTCAATTTGGGTTTGCCTGATGAACTTCTGATGACTAGTTTGACATATATTTCTGGCAAAGATACTACAGAAATCATGTTATATCTTTTTCATTGCATATCACATGTTTATGACGTCTGTATGTTTGATTACAAATGCTATTACACTTGATGACTTGGTTAAGGTAATGCCAGCTGGTTAGTATAGTTTTGTTTTTAATTTGTAACTATCTTGAGGGTGATATTTTGAGGTTCAACCTATGTTTTTTGAGGTCATTATTTCTGAGTAGAATTTAATTTATCCTTTGTCCTACAGGAAAACCTTTGTTACTTAAAAAAATTATTTAAAAAGTTATTTTCTGGATTCTCTCTATGGTGTGTATTCTAGAAATCAGCATTGAAATTATGAAATTAGAGGGAATAGGAATAAAGGAAAATGTCTTTCATTCTATAAATAAGGATAATAAATATACCTAAAAATAAGATGACTTGCAAAATATTTTTGAATATGTCACTTAAATGTATACAATTATCTAATAAGGTTGGTATTTATATTTATACTTGTTAATGTTGTTATTGTTTCCCTATTTTCATAGAATGTGTAAACTAAGGATCAGTGAGAGTAAATGATTTGTCCAAGGTTTTACCACCAGTAATTGGTAGGACAAGGAAACACACTTGTTTTCTGCATCGAATCCGAATCATTTACTCAACTACACACAGAGATGGAGTGGGCTTCCGTGCATAGTAGTGAGTTTCACATCATTGGATACGTCCATGTTGAGGGGTGTGACTTCTCAGTGAGGATGTGACAAGGTTGAGTCAAACTCTAGATGTGTGGTTGGAACTGATAAACTTTAAGATCAATTCTGATCTTGAGATTCCATGATTTTAAAACATAGTGTTTAAAGGTCCATCGCGTTAACTTATTCCTCCCTTTTTGTTCTCCTCTTTGGGAAATGGAAGATGAGCTCTTCTTTCTACTTATTTTATTCAATCAACAAAAGCATTTGGTGGAATTTACTAAAAGGAAGGATATCCTTTGCCACAAATATTTTACTCTAGTATCCCTGGGCTATGTGTCTGTAGTTTGCTTCATTCTGTGACAGTAAAACTTAGATTCCTGCCAAGGTGTCACAGAGGGTATTGGGTCAGGTAATTGGAAGAGATGTAGAGAGGGAGAAATGCCTTAGTTTGTTTTGAAAATCCACAGACAGAGGAGTACCCAAGTAAACTTCATGCTGTTTTATTATCAAAGTCACTAAATTTTTTACCTGTAATATTACCTTGTTGACTACTGTCGATTTGACCTGCAACTCATGGAGGGGGTACTGTGTGTTACAGAATAGAACTGCTCCATGTTTTTTTTTTTTTGTTGTTGTTTGTTTGTTATAATCTTTTTGAAGTAATTTTACAGGACTTTTCTTCTGCACAGCTACTATGTAGGTTCAAAATTCCAACCTTTGGGTTAGCAGTTGATCACAAGCTGTGCCACCAAGGCTCCTTGATATTATCTTGTTGTTGTTGTTATGTGCCGTCGAGTTGGACCCAACTCATAGCGACCCCTTCTTGGGTTTCCAAGGCAGTATCACTACGGAAGTAGAAGTAGATTGCCCCATCTTCCTTTGGAGGAGTGGCTTGATATTATCTTAAAGACCATCAATTTTGATGCTTTCCCCCCGCCCAGAATTGCAAATTGAGGCTCAAAAGGGAGGAAGTTAATTTTCTAATACCACACAGCTAGTCAGTTGCAGACGTTCCTTTTGTATAAGATATTTCTTTTGCTTGTGTGTTAGGTCATCTAGTAATGGTAGACAACATTCTAAATTTTGTAAATTTTTTTTCTTACTGATAAGCAAACTCAGTCCTAATGTGCAAAAGTGGTTTGCCAAAGGGCATTTGGATATAAAATAAGAATCCAGAATAAAAATCTATGTTGAAAATTTGGATTATGAAGAACTGCAGCCTTCTCCTATTGAGAATCATTGAATCATCACAAATAGAAACCTTTGTGTTAATCCCTTAAAGCAAAAACTAGTTTCTTTGTAGACAACTGGGTAGAACAATAGCCCCATTATAGAGGATGCTTAATAATTTGTACTGAACTTGAAATGAACTGTACGGTTTTAATTTAGCTTGCGAGCCAGTTTCCTAGGAAACAGATTGGGTTCTCATTGTGTGCAGGCCCTTATTCCTAATGTTTATTTTTATGCTGTGCAGGAAGTGGAGTGACTGTGGGTGACTCATTTACCTTCTGTATTCCCCAGTTTTTTATCTGAAATGAATGCCATTTGTTTTATTTCAGTGATAGGGTAGAAAAAGAAATAAAGGATACAGAAGAGTTACTGGAAACATAAACATATCAGGGGTTCTAATTCGTATCCTCCTTTATATATTTGTTTGAAATGCTCCATGAATTACTCACCTGATGGCAAATAAAGACATCCAATTCAACCTCACTTGACCAAAAGAAGGAAGTTTTTGGTTCATTTAACTTAAAAGTCCAGGAGTAGGCTAATCTGATAATTCAAATGATTTTGCCAAGAATTCATTTCTGTCTATGTTTTCGTTCTTTCATGTTTGTTGGCTTTGTTCTCAGTCAGGTTTTTACTGAGTGGCAAAAAATGACCATGAATATCTCTAGCCTCACAGTCTCACTTTGATAATCACACTGGTCATGCACCTAGAGCCTAAACCAATCCCTTTTATCAGAGGATTGGATTCCTCTGATTGGGTAGGCCGGAATCATGTGCTAAAAAGCTCTACTTAAACTAAGTGGAGGATGGTGGTTCTCCAAAGGAAAATTGAAGTACTCTTACTAGAAAAAGAATTTCAAATGAAGAGCTGGGAAAAAAAAAAAAAAAAAAGATGTCTACTAGGGCTTCCCTAATCCCATTCCTACCTGTTAAAATTCTATTAATCCTTTAAGGATTGTCTCAAGAGTCTCTTTTCAGAAGCCATTGCTGATCCCCTAACCAAATATGATTTCTCCCTCTTCTGTGCCCCTTTACCATTTTGTGCTTCCATTTTGCTTATTTTAGTGAAATTTGTGCAATCATTATGTTTCCTCCTTAGATTCTCTTCTAGAATATCACTTCTTTGAGGGGAAATATTGTTTTTCACTTGTCTTTAAATAGTAGCACATTCAACATGACTCATAATAGATTATCAGTAAATATATATATATATATATTTAATATTTACTGATTGTCTATTACACCTAAGCCATTTGACTGCTAACCAGAAGGTTGGGGGTTCAAACCCACCAGCCACTTCTTGGAAGGAAGATTGGGCGATCTACTTAATGATACCACATTGGAAACCCAAGGAGGGGTTGCTATGAGTCAGAGACGAGTCGACCACACATAACAACAAAAACAACAAAAATATTTGTTGAACTGACTTCTCATTGTTATACAAATTGTGAATCAATAATAAAAATAAATAAGGTAGATCATTATATTATGTACATAATTTTTTAATAGACTAAGTTATTAAAAGTCTAACAAGCATCATTAACTATTCTGACAAATGAGTTCTGTTTAAGAAGTAAGAATGACAAATGCTCTGTAGTCCTGGAGTGTGGTCAGTGTTTGAGAGGGCTAGTTGGGGGTCTCTGGACTGACTCTGCATTCACTAACTCTGTGCCTTCTCCTTTTTCCTCTTCAGTTGTCTGGATTTACATCTAAACTTGTTCCAGCTATCCAGAATGCACAGAAGAATTCCACAGGATCTGGAAAAACAAAGGAACTTATGGTGTTAACTAAACCCATTGTGATTGAGACATACATGGGGCTAATGTCATTCATTGGAAATCGCAACCAGCTTGGCTATTCTCTTGCACGTGGAAGTATTGGTTTTTGAGAAACTTTTTGGGGTATACTATCCACAGATATGTCATCATTAAAGATTCTATTTCAGCCTACTATATTTTTGGA